CGCTGGCTCCATTACCCGCTGGCTGCTTCCCAAACAAACACACCTGCGGCTTGGCACTTGTGCTGTATGTAACAAGTCACGCAACGTGACGCTGCGGCTGTGATTGGTTCGGCTCTGCGCTACTTAATTTGGATTGGCTGACTTTTTTTTTTTTTTTTTTTTAAGAGGACAAGAGCGGCGAGGTCTATCGCGATAGCTTAATTTCTCTATCGAGTAAAAGTTATATCGCGATACATATCGTTATCGTTCTATCGCCCAGCTCTACTTCACACCAACGTGACTCAAAATCCAGAACTTTGGTAGGGAATCATATCCAGTTCTTACATCGACACCATTATCAGAGCACACGGCAATATGACAGCATCCTAAAAACCTGTTTAAAATGGGAGAGCACCAGCCTGCCGTCGGACGCCCGGCCTGCCGTCGGACGCCCGGCCTGCCGTCGGACGCCCGGCCTGCCGTAGGACGCCCGGCCTGCCGTAGGACGCCCGGCCTGCCGTAGGACATGCTTCATTCTCCTGTCTCTGATCAAGGCTTTATCTGTGCTTCAACTTTCAGAGAGAGTGTTACTTTCAAGCAGTGCACGATGCTGCTTTCAGAGTAATCATGATGTAGTGCAGTGGTTCCCAGAGTGGCGGGCACAGAGCCATTGCAGGGGGGGCGCAGTATGGTTTTTATAAGAAAACACTGCTAGTATAATGGACACAAACGCAAAGCAGAGGTTGAAGCATCGTCAAAGATGCTTCCAAGCCAAAGACTAGAAGAGCAGCTGTCGTGCCGACAGAAGGAGTTTCCCCTGCGTGGGGAGCAGCACTGGGCTCTCCAAATCACGGACAAACAGGATCCCACATTCTTGATTTTTAGTTCACAAACACTTCTTATAACGACTAACTACTCCTGAAACTTTGGAGATGTTAGCACTTTGTACAGTTACAGGAGGATAAAAGTAATTATCGGGCAAAATGTCCTTCGTTTGTTAAAATAGTCCCGTCCAACACCACGTGAGAACAATAAATATATAATTTTCTGTTGTAACCCTCAAACTGAATGGTATGGAGGCCCGTTTCCACCACTAAAAAAAAAAAAAGTATCCACATAACTCCAAATTTTGAGTTATTTTCTCAAAATTTCGAGTTAGTCAGTAATCTACGTGAATGGCGTCATTTCCTTGTTACCCGGAAGCTGAAGCCCTCAGCTACAAATGCTACAGCTAAGCTACCAGGATTACAGTCATGAATGCACAAATTGCTGATTATTTTCAGCTTGGCTTCACAAATGATGAAATCCTTGTGTTATTAGCTGAATTATTAGCGTTACTATCAGCAAACGTACTCTCGAAAGCGCCAAGTTGTTGCGACCCGGTTTTGAGTGCGCGTTCCACGTGGATTACTGATTGACAGAGCAAATGACTCGAAATTTGGAGTCATGGATACTTTTTCTGTTGCTGTTGGCTTCCACAGAATGGCGATGTAACGACACTCACCGTTCACAAAACTAAAACATCACTACTTCCCCGTCTAACTCTCTATAATGCAGTGAACTGGATCCCGTGTCCAGCCACTGACGCAGGAGGAACACATTGTGTCGGTGATACCGACCTTGGCACAAACACAGATCCTGCCAGTTTGTTCCCCGCTTCAAATCATGGACACACTGTATCCCACAGTTTGAGGTTTTTAAACCCACTTTGCACACAGAGACATTTTTGGAAAAACGTATTGACAGTGATGTTGAATATTCTTGTAAAATTAAGGAGGGCCTAGCAAAAAAGGTTTGGGAACCACTGACGGCATCAGGAGCTTCCACGTGTTTTTCATGCGAGCACACAAAGGAACCGTGGTGGTTCCTCTCAGCATGTCATCAAAAAGGAAACGGTAACACACAGAAAGCCTCCCCTCCATTCATGTCTATATGAAACACACATAGAAAAGTGTGTGAGCCAACAAACTCACAGAGCTTCGATATGACGTTCCCTCTGTACAAACACACTGTGTAAAGTACACTAGTGTTTCCCCGTTTCCACTGTGATGATGGAAAACACTTTAAATATTTAGACATTTTTGGGCTCTGGGAAATTTTTACTAATATAAAAGCTGCACAGATTCCTGGCCTGTTTCACAGATGCTTCTTTGATACTGCCAATGCTAACGTCAGCACACGCCTGGATGAACGGGAGGGCAGTCGGGCTGAGTGCATTCGTCCCATTGCTGTGTTGTGATCCAGGTAATCATTTACTATCCTTCACAGGAAGCAAATCCTGGAAGTTCACCTGGAACGTTCCGGCGCAGCACCGGTGGCCTTGTATTGGCTGCAGCTCTGTATTAGGATGGAATTGATCATTTAAGTAGGTGGTAATGTGGCCGTTGTTGGTCACACTGATATGACAAAGAGAAACAGGCTCTGGGAGGAGGACGTGCGACAGCTAAAAGCTGTGCACACACACTTGTTGCTGATACGTCACTACAGTGCAGGACTTGTGTGACTGGACTGTATCCACACTGCTGGTTCGGTATGCTGACGGACACTCTGGCACATTTATTTGTGCCTCCCATTTTTGAGTTACTGACCAACAGACGCTTCTTCCTCTCACGTTAAACCGGTTGCTTCATGTTCACTCTGTGTTTCTTTGTTTCATGGTGAAGAGCAACAAAAGCTGACTGATGCATTTCCTTTGCTGAAGCTCTGATACTGAGGTTTGTGCTGAGCAGTGACAGCTGTATACCAGGTGATATCCCAGGAGGCGTCTTTCTTACACTGAAGGTTAACACACAAAATCAGAAAGCTGTCCACCGTCCAAACAGAAGTTGATGCTCGCCGAGTGTCAGACAGACGTGAGACTAGCTGCAGTGTACAAGTCTGCGGTTTCTATGGCTGCTGTTGTATGTCCTGTGTTTTGGCACAGAGCCATGTGACTACAGTCTGTACCATGAATGTGACTCAAACAGCATTAGCAGCTAACCAACAGTCAAAGCTAACCAGCAGCTGCTTTCATAATGTCCATCATCAGAAACAGTCTGATGGAGCTTCACATGCTCACCTGCATCTCCAGATGCTGAGCTTAAGTTCTGAGGAGACTGATTTAGGTCACAAGGACTAATTGTTTGTTCATGTTAAGACTGACACACATAGTTTGTGTGCTTGTAGGGAAGCGTCTGCAGTGGCATCACCACAGAGCCTAAAGTTCATCCTCTGATGAAACTGGCACGCTGGCTTTGCCACATTTTATCAGCTGTAGACGGGAAACACGGATGGAAACGCAATTTCATTGTTCTTGACAATGACAATAAATAAATACTACTACTAATCTGCAGCCAGATGACTGTGGTGATCGAAATATTGATTAAAATAAGCTCATGGGAAAACGTTTCTCTTGCAGTCTGTGAGCATCTTCCTTCTTTGTTTTTGGGCTCTGTCACTGACTTTGGGTCGTCCTGAATAAAAAATAGGTCTGTTTTATAAATCGGTGTCATTCTGTGTTCCAGAAGCACAGACTCACGACCTAGTGGCCTGTCAATCACAAGACATTAGCAGATCGTTACATAGACAAACCTTTTGAATACAAGCGTGCTGGTGCACACAGGCGTGCACACAGGCGTGCACACAGGCGTGCACAGACACAAACTACACATTTCTTGGCTGCTACCTCAAAGCACATTGAGCGCTGTCAGTCCTGCGTGCTGCACAATAACATTCAATATTTAATATCTACTGTCAGCTAGATTATTGTGATGCTGTTGTGTTTATTATGCTGCTCGTTTTTTGCTTGTTTCCTTTCTCTCAACAGGTGATCCAGGTGAAAAGTGCCTTTTCTCCCTCTTCCCCTGTGTTTTTCTATCTTCCCCCAGTCATGTCTGTCCCGTCTGCAACAACTGAAAATAAAATAAATACATAATAATAATAAAGGTCAATCAAACGGACCACTATGGCTAGGCCGTGATGATCCACTTGGTAAAGGAAACCTGTTGTGTATCTTTTTTTTGCCTTCAGACCATCATTGTGATGCTGAAGAACCACAGGGACAGAGCCTTTGGCTGACGTGGGGAACATCATGTCATTCGTTGTTAAAATCTCGGACTGCTGACAGGACAGAAGACGAGGCCAAAGGCAAACAAACGTCCTGGCACACGAACAGCCAAAAACACTAACTCGTCCACACACACGCAGACTGGCAGCGTGCCCACCAACTTCTCATGCTTACACAAAAGATGTGTTTTCAAATCAACGCTCTCGAAAGTCCTTTACTTCATTTTGGCGGACTTTCAAATCCCAAGTTTGCAGAAGTCCCTCCATGCAGCGAGTCATGCGTGGCGTGGGTAATGTAAATCTCACGGGGCATCGTGAACACGCAGTAACAGATGGAGGCATTGTGAGGAGCAGACAGAAGAAACGCGTACTTCGTGGAGAGTGCGCGTTTGTACGTGTTTCTGATGGCGTCATCCTTCAGCCATCCCTCACAGACTGTCCACGGAGACCGAGAGCAAAGACACGACGCGTTTGTCGTGAAACTAACAGATGGTTTGGTTCCTCTGAATATTTGCCACGACACTGACTGCTGTTCTAAGTCTGCTCCTAAAATCTGAGGCAACATGGAAGCATCAGTGTGTCCGGGCTCCTCCCAGCTGCTCCACAGATCCCGTTTAGCTTCTCGTCATCAAACATCTTCATCAAACATCTTCATCAAACATCTCATCAGAAGTTCAACAAACTGTTTCAAACGCTTTAAAGGCGTAAAAGCAGCGCTTGGCACCGAGGCGGCTGCGGTCACAGTAACGCTCCCCGCGTCTTTCTTCGTGCTGGACACGAAGGGAAAAGTTCCCGAGCGCCGGGAACAAGCTCGGGAACGTTCGGCGCGTTCAAAGAGGACCGAACCTTTGTTTAGACTCTCGTGTTCGGCCCACAGCGAGACACACCGACAGGCCCGCGGGCTTCTAGCATCCACACAAAAAGTCTGAAAGCGAAGGAAACGTGAGACAAAGTAAAGACGCGACCGAAGCACTTACTTTGCTCTTGACTTCAGCAGACAGGCCGTAGGCTGGTCCCTTATTAAAGTGAGTCATCGTGGCGCTTTTGTGACCCACGGGATTACTCGCAAAGTCCGCGGAGTCGTCTGTGGAAAAGACGGATTCTCAGCGACTGTTTCGGCCCGACGGGAGCTCAAGCAGTGCGCGAGGCGAGAGCGCGGTCAGCCCCCCGCCTCCTGTCCCCTCCCCTCAGTGTCGGCTGCATCCTGAAAGCCCTGCATGAGTACAACTTCCACACATGACCAAAACTTTCCACACCGGGATCATGTTTAGGAATCCTGTTCAGCTCAGCTTTGGTCTGCAGGCTGGCTGGAAACGAAAAGCTGGTGCGGCTTTAACCAAGTCCCACAGCACCCGAGAAACACACAGATCTCACCCGCTCCTTTCCCCACCGTGCCGTGGAAGCAGAGGCTGCGCGTGGGCTTACTAACAGGCCTCGCTGCGTTCAGCTTCATGAGACACACGCGTGTGTACTGTCAGGGAAAACATGCTAACCCACGTGCACTGTGGTGATCCTGGAATGTGCGGGTGGACATGGTGTCCATCTTTCTCCTCTCATGCAGGGACTCGTGCTCGGTGTGGGCTCCACAGCGATCACACGTGATGCCACGTCGGACAGATAACGATCAGCCTCCCCAGCGATGCGCAGGTGCAGCAGTTTCACCTTCACTGCATTGTTTTCAGAGTAGTTTAATAGTAGTGAGAGTAAATAATGGCACAAACAACTCAACAATACAGACACAGCATTTATTCATCACACAGCAGGAATGAGTCCGTGTGGATCGGACACTTTCACACCATTCTTCCCAGGAAAATGGATTTGGGGTATTTGTCCCTCAGAGACGACCACTGTACAAAGAAGTAGTCGGATACAGGATACAGGATCTTCCCAGTGAGCGACAACGTCTGGACACGGCAAATACTCTCAGCGTAAACTATCAGGACTTTCTTTATTCCCAGAATCCCAAGGAGGAGTCCTGCTACACACAGGGGAATGCAGGTCCCCGGGCCGTTACACAGCACCTGAAAACACAGACAGGGGGGCGGGCACACATCCGTGGAAAGAGGTTATTCTGTACATCTGTTACAAAACTGTGTGTCATGTGACAAAGACTGGCTCAAAGGCCATTCTGGATCGGCTCATGTGCACTCCCTGTCATCACAGGACGACTCGGACATGCAGCCTCTGCTCTCACACAGTGACCTCCCCTCCTCAGGTCCTTCAGTAGAAACTGTGAGAGTCAAAGAGGGAAACCCTGACACATGTTGGGGTTTGGAGCTTACCGAACATATTTAAGGCCAAACCCGGCTGAGCTGAACCGTCTCAAACCACAAATGCATCAGAATGTTTCAAACAGATACGCGTTTGACTCACCGAGGACTGCGTTCAGTGAGACAAAGGGAGGGGCTGAGTAAGTACGAGGCCTCAGCACTGAAGGAGGCTGGTGGAGTTTACAGGAAAGCTGCCGTGGAGTCTGGAGAAGTAATCATACAGCTCCTCTGCATGCAGAGCCCCACTCTGCAGCCAGCTTACACCCACACCTCTCAGCCGTCTGTTTCCCTGCACAAACCTTCTTACAGCAGCAGGGCTGCAGCGATAAGTTGATCAGAAAATGATCCTTTGCTTCGACGCTTCGTTTAGCGCTCGGCGCCGTCGCCACGTAAGCGCCAGCGTTTCAGCTGCGACTAAAACAGACCTGAAACAGCCAGCGTTTGAACAGAAGCAGTTTTTCAGCAGAAACAAATGTTTTTGTAAAGCGAAACCAGTGAGAAGCCGTTTTCTCTCCATTTACTGTCGCTCATTAACAACACACAGTATTTGTGACTCAAATATAACGGATGGGATATTCCGTTGGTAACATGCCTTCAGCTGCAGCGTGCTAACCACCGCTGTGTGAGCCACTGTTCACTACAGCCTGCTCCACTCACCATGTCCGGTCTGAGCCTGAACACCAGAGGCAGGGAATAGCACAGGGCATCGAGAGTGCTGACGACAGACGAGCTCCAGGACTGGTGCACCTCGCGGCTCCGTGGGATCCGACAGATGGTGAACTGAGGAACAAACAAGTGTGCGTCACATTCGTCTGAATTTGACATTAGATGTTTAAATGGATTCACTGAGCTGTAAGCTGACAGGGACTGAAGACAAACAGAAACCAACCACACGCCTGGACCTGTGAGACACACGAGGACGTGCTTCTGTAGGGATGATCTGATATCCTCGTGCTCGTGTTGTTCCCAGACCATGAAAATGTTGTTCCAGGTTCAACGTTGCAAGTGACCAATCACTTTGTTGTGACGTTATTCCTTTGCGCGCCAAGCCATTCGTGCATTTATGAAATTCCAATGTTGCGAGGACAATATCAGTTCTGCTTACTGTTTATTAAAGGGTTACGGTCAGGGTCAGGGTCAGGGTCCGTTGATCGGCGGACAGAGGCGGTTTCTCGCAGCTTAACTACAGTTTTTTGTTTTACGCCGGTTTTTCCCGAAGTAGCAAAAGTATGACGTCACAACATTCTGATTGGTCACTTGCAATGTTGAACCTGGAACATTTTCATGATGATCTGGGAACAACACCAACACGAGGATATCAGATCGTGCGCTTCTGTAGACAGCTTAAACCAGTAACAGGATTACTTCAGAAACGCTGGTGGCCAACAGGACAAACTTTACTTTCTGTTTTGCTGATGTGCTCTTTGCCTGGCAGTGGAGTACTGTCACAGTGTGATACTTTCCTGAAGGACAGGAAATAAGTAACTCTTCCAGTGTGTGAGCCTGCTGCTGTCAGGACTCTCCTGCCTATGATGATGCAGTCCCGTGGGAGCAGCAAGTCCTCTGCAGAGTCCAGCGGTGGCACGCTTTGCTGTATCTGAACCTCTGCACTGTGCTGGGGTGCAGCTGCTGGGCCATGGAGACCACAGAGCTCAGTGAGCTCTCGCTGTGCATCACCACACTGAGTTAGAACCAAAAGCTCCATCATGCGTACCTGTGAGTCCGACTGTTGTTTGAGGCTTTCAAACGTGCAAATTTTCTCCTCGCTCATCCTGTCTGTGTCTGCGAGGACATAGTGTCGAGGTGTGTAGGCTGCAGACATGCACTGCAGCAGGTGCAGGACCTCTGTGGTATGACCACCTACAAATCAGAAAGAAGCACAGCAGCAGTTACAAGGTTAACCACGACCTGGAGGACACTGAACTCTTAGTCCTCACTGCGCTCGTCATACACGCTCATCTTTAGATGGACACTTAATAAAGACAGACATTCAATTTGATTTAGAAAGTATGTTTCATCCCAGCATGAGTTCAAACAGGTCAGTCGGTGCTGGGCGTGAAGCGGCAGCGAGGACACACCACAGGACATCACTGACAGTGTTGGACGTGCACGTGGCCAGAAACAGCCAGGAGTCTGCTCAGCATCTAGGACCAACAGCTCTATAAAGCATCATTATCACTTTGAACTTCACATCGGTCTACTGACCTTAAAGAAGAGGTCAGAGGTCAAATGTGACATTACATTATAAATGCTTTATCATAGTTTATACGTCATTCTCACATCAGCAGGTTCCCATAATGACTACAAACTGTTTCTACGACGACTCCAATCTCCCCAAAACGGCCGAGCCCCATCAGACCTCAGAGACCTCTGAGTATCCGGTTGTTCAGTCTGACGTCACTAGCCGTGTCTGGACCTAAACTCCGCTGCAGGTCCATATATCAAACGATCACTATGGCATTACTGAGAGTTGAAAAACTGTCTAAAGTCTTTCATCTTTAATAAAATGATCAGCGTTCTGCTCTACCAGGTGTAACAATTGAGTTTAACATCCAGGCATCCATGAAAACGGAATTTATGACATTTAACGGAGTTAGAAGTTAGCAGGGAGTTAGCTCGCTAGCTTCTATCTAAATACAATATAGCATGTCCTGACTGCGGGGTTTTGGAAACAAATTAAAAACGTACAGCTCTGTTATCACTTCCAACATAAATGAAGACAGAAAACTAAACAGCAGTGACGTTTGTAGGGTTACTGAAGTTGGGCTAGCTGGTATATAATGATTTGCTACGTGACCGCTAGCGACACAGCTATGTTAGCATAATATAAACAAGCTAACTTTTTTTCCACTCGATAAAAGTTAACGTGAGTGTTCTCGGTGGTCAGGAACAAATGTAATCGCATGGCAGGATGCTGTAAAAGGACCAAACTTCAGCCAGGAGAACAACTGAGATAATCCATCCACAATACGAGGTTAGTCATTCATGTACTGCTGCATGGGCTGGGCTGTAGTTACATCCTAAGGTTTTAAAAACTGAGCTTAAATAAATGATTAGCGGTAATAAAAGCCGAGGGAGGTCAACAGGGATCACTGACTGTTTTAGGAGCTTTTTGAGATCAAATAGAAGAAAATACATTAAACATGTTAACAACACAAAAGCCATATTAAACGCAGACTACTTTAGGCCCGGAAGTAGGATTCGTCACGTCATCACTGAACAACCGGATTATCATATGACCCCTGCAGAAGCAGCTTTCTCATGCTGTCTATAGTATATGTGCTATTACTGCATGTCATTAGCCTTTGGAGTCTCTCTCCCATACTTTAGTCCAGTGATCCTGGTTCTGTTTGAGGTCACTTCCTGTTAAAAGGGAGCTTTTTGTCTCACTGTCACCAAGTGCTCGCTCATAGGGGATCTTTTGTCGGGGGTCGGGGTTCGATTCCCCTGAACAGCTACCCTGAGGTACCCCTGAGCAAGGTACCGTCCCTACACACTGCTCCCCGGGCGCCCAATGGCTGCCCACTGCTTCACTGAGTGAATGGGTTAAATGCAGAGAGGGATTTTCCCTACGGGGACCAATAAAGTACACTTTCTTTCTTTCTTCTTTCTTTCTTTTGATTGTTGTGGTTTCTCGCTAACACCGTAGGGTCGTTACGTGTGAAGATAACTGCTGTTGTAATTTCACTGTATATAACTAAGACTGAGCTGCAGAGCTACACCCCAGGACCAGCTCTACGCTCCAGACTGTACTGGATCGTCAGCATTAAGCTGAGTATTTTCACCACTGAGACCAGGAACACTGCACATTCATTGGCTAACGGTCGTGTTGGCTGCACGTTTCAGACCTGCACCCAATTCCAGTGAGCATGCTCAGCAACACTTCTCAAGATGAAGCCTGAGTTGATACGTCAGAGCCTCCGTTTGAATCCAGCAGAGTAATGTGAATACTGCTGACTATTCCTCTCACCAAAGCACTCTGTCACTACCATGGACAGCAGGAAAGCTCGTGGTTATCATTTAACCAACTTTCTGATTCCTCCGAATTTGGATTTTTAAATCGAATCATTCAGCTGTTACCTAACAGGGACAAACTACAGCTGACAGAAACTGAAGACAAGAATACAAACACATCACACAGCGATGGGCCTGTGATGCACACGAGCACACAGTTACCCCAACATCAAGAACTGCACTGAGAAGCAGGACCACGCAGTACAGAACAAGGAAAGGAAGCAAACTAGTGCGAGATGTGTCTAAAGACCCAGGAACAACTGCAGAGACACTAGTGACTGTTGGGAATTGTAGTCTCACACATGACAGCCACTAGAAACCTACACAGGAATGGACTGTAGGGTCTCAGAAGGAAAAACGTCGCCTTGGAGCCGGACAAAGCTCATGCATACTGGAAGTCCATCCTTTGGTGAGATGAGCTCTCCCCGTAGAGATGCTGCTGACGTTTGGAGAAAGGAGCAGGCTCAGTGCTCAGATCGTACACTCGTGTCTTTAAACCAGCCCACGTGCCACACGATGTGGCGTGAAAATCATCACAGCCCAACACCTTCACGTGGATGTGGTTCTGGTTAGACCCACTGAGAGTGAATCAGGAGATTTTCAGTGGGAAAAGGTTCTGACTGAACTGTTGATGACAAACTGACTTCATTTAAAAAGTCGCTTCAAAATCCACGTGTGAGTTTATGTTTGACGTTTCTGAATGAAGACGGAGAGAGGGGTGTCAAACATGTGGTCCGTGTGCAGCAGGAGGGCAGAGAGCAACAACCTCACACAGATGACTGACTCAGCAGTTTCCCCTCATCTCAGCGTGGAAAACCAGCGGACTCACGCCTGTCACAGATCCACGCATGCATCCAAACTGTGTTTCTTCAAGGAAATACAACTATTCCTGCCTCTAAGGACTTTTAACAACTAAATACATAGAAAATAACCAGCATCGCTTAATCTGGGTGGAATTATTAAGAGAAATCCAGTATTTTGACGGATTTTCACTTCACTAATCACCAGAATGACCTTTATACACTCGATGTATGTATAGTGTACCGGAAGCTCGGGGATGTTGTTTGTACGGTGGCGGAAGTGTCGCACTCCTGCCCGACACAAAGCAAACACGTTCAGTATCCACAGCTAAAACAGCAGATACGTGGCATGGCTAGAATTAGCATGCGTCCACGCCGTGTCGTGTCCGATACAGCCACGGTGTCACAGTGCTGCTGAAACACTGTGAAACACGGCTCCATGCCCGGTGTAGCCCGGTAGCTACGGAGGCCGGCTGACGGCTGTTTGTAACGTAACAACATGAGCGCGCTTTCTCTGTGACACTTGAACGCAGCGGGGCCGTGTTCCGCGCCGTTACCTGATCCTGCGACCACCAGAACAGTGACCCGACCCTTGCTTCCAGGCTTGCAGTTGGCGCCCGTCTTCACAACGATATAAAGGCGAATGATGAAAAATAAACACAGAAGTAAAACTGCTGATGTGAACCCCAACAGCAACATCGTGACGGCTACGGCAGCCTGGCGTGGCCAAAATCAGACAGGGCGTGGGGCGGTGAAGCCCTGAGTGCGGGCTGGTAGGCAGAGCCAGCTCCTGCTTGGTGTTCACGTTACTTTGTTTTTAGCTTCCACATCTATTCAGACGTCCTGGACACGTGCCTATAAATCTGCAGTGTGCTGAGGAGGTGGAGCTTATGAAAGGAAAATATACGTCGACTTTCACTTTAAATTCATTGTCATTTGTAAGTGTAATAATAATGATAACAATGTTATGCGTGTTTTGCACAGCGGAGGAGCGTGTCAGCACACATTTCACTGCATGTTGTACTCGTGTAACTCTCAATGTGCCGAATGAAGAAGGTTGAATCTTCAACGATCTCAGGGCTGTGGACCTGAAAGCAGCCGTGGGCCGCTGCTGACACGCCCCCTCACGCCCCCTCAGTGTTCAAGTCATACCAAACAAAAACGAAGAAAACGGATATTTTTGTTTGTTTTCAAATATTTTATAACAAGACTAAACTTTTTGATACACACGTGGGTCGTGTCTGTGTGACAGGAGGCAGCACTGCTGCTGTCATTGTGTTCGTGTCTAAATCAAGCTACACATGAGTTTGTGAGTCTGTCACTGCTCTCCGCTCATAAAGAACTTATTTTAACATTGAAGTCAACAACAAAGCAACCCTGCAGGTTTCTAACACAGCACAGTGTCCACACTGAAGCCAGTTTACAGTCCCAGTGAACCTAAGCCAGGGCGCGTACCCGAGCAGCACCTCCACACAGACCACGTTCAAGCCCAGGACGGTGGTGCTGTGAGGCAGTGCTAGCTGCTGCACCTCTCCACAATGGTTACAAAATCAAGTTATACATTGAATAACCAACGATGTAAACAAGTAGAGCTGAAACAATCAATCAGTTACTGACTTGAAATAAAGGCAGCAGCTGTTAGAACAGCACGGACATATTAAACGGGCTGGACACCCTCAGAGGTAGCTGGTCCTGTCTTGACATCTCTTTGCCGTCACATGTAGGATCAGTGCTTTTACCCTGACTTCCTTTATGTACACAGTTTTACTTCTGTGACATTTTGTAGGACATTTACTTGCAGAATACGTCGTCACAGTCAGCCTTCAGTCGTGAATCAGCGTTCTGACCATCGCCCACATCCTGTTCACATTTCATACTAAGTATGTGTGAGCTGTACAGAGACGGCGGCTACACTGATGGTGTTCGTGGAGCTTTTATAGCTCAAAGTGTTTGCGGCCTGGTGTGGGACAGGAAGTGGCTAGAAGATGCAAACACTGATTTTCCTGGTTCTGATGTCTTTGTTCAGGTTGACACCACCGATAGCTGACGAGACCTGTGCTGTGCAGGTTTGGGCAGTAACCACACTTACCTGTGCTTCTGTTCAAGACTGTTTCCTACATGATGTCAAAGGTGCCACCTGTGCATGTGATCACCGTGCTGATATAACCAATGACTTTAAAAATGTCCCAGATGAGAACGAGGCTTCTTTCACGCTGGCCAGATGAAACAGGGTTGTGACATCACTGTGATGTCGTCACCCTTTAGTAAATGTTTGATTTCTAAGGTAATCAGGAATAAGTGTTGTTGACGTGACTGTCAGCTAAGAGTCAGTGCTGCAGGCCAGACATCAGCTCTGCTGCTCTGATCGTACTGGACTAATCATGGGCCCGGAGCAGCGCTGGGCTTCCTCTGGCAGCCATGACCACCTAGTTAGTGTCTGATGACCGTTTTCATCCGGTCACATCTGTCACAGCTGGGCTGGAGACACAGGTGCACGATCGTGCTGGTTTCAACACTTTGATCATAGAGTGATTAAAGTGCTCAGAGACAAAAACCGAGATTAAAAACTGGAATCTTTGTCTTCCACTGTGGACGTCTCGCCCTCCCGTGTTAACGCTGATGTGGAGCTACTGTGAATGGCAACACTGCACCACGTGGCTCATGTGCACTGCAGTTAGTTTGGCCCACTGATCTACAACAGTTGTAATACCATAGAGTGTATATGTGTGTAAATGCACAAACACGTGCAGGTGAACCCCGTCGGCCTCACCTGGATGGTTGAGCATCAGCACATGCGCACACTGAGCTGATGTCACCAGACAGAGGCGACACAAGCGCGAGCATGAAGCCCGAGTGTAAACAAAAGCTCTGCCCTCACGTGCATGACGTCACATTGTGCTGAGCAGGCAACAGTGACGTGTTTCCTGTTTCACGGTGAAACAGGAGACGGAGCTGCGGGTGATGTACAGAGAGCTTCGCTTCAGTGTTGTCTGCAGATAATATCGCCTGAGAACAACTTCCGCTTGAGTGAACGATGGCGCGAGCGAGTGTGGTGACGTCACGCGGCAGAGGCTGAGCAGGAGGACCGGGAGGGTGAGCTAGCAGCTGCGACAGCATCCCCGCGTGACACACACGGTAACATGGCATCATACGTGTGCGCGTGAGTGGGGTAAACGGGCAGCTCGTCGTGTCTCGGTAGAGCATCTGGTGCAGGTGCACGAGCACACGCGCGACCGCGTCCTTCGCGAAACCACTGTCTGCAGTCACAAGGTCGCGAGGAGAGCCGATGTCGTGTGGGGGCTCCCCGCGCGGTCACTGGGGTAGCCAGTGGAGGCCCTCACGCACGCACGCACACACACAGCGTGGACGTGTTTGCTGTAGCTCTCAGAAATGTGGAACAAAGTGTGTTAAATGCGTGAAACCTGCGGATCCTCTGCTGTGTTCTTACAGACACCCGTGCTTCTGTCTCCTCCAGGCCCACTGAAGCAGCACGCAGGATGGACTCTATGTCTCTGATGAGTGGAAGCAGGACCCCCGTGTTCCTCACAGCCTCCTCCTCCCACCACGTCCAGGCCCCCCTGCTGTCCAAAGGCCTGAAGAATGGAGCTGCAGGTCCAGGAAGCTGGTGCGGGGATGCTCAGCCTACTGTGGCCATTCTGGGATCAGGTGACTTCTCCAAGTGCCTGACCATTCGCCTGCTGCGCTGTGGCTTCCATGTGGTGGTGGGTAGCCGCCATCCCAAATTGGCAGCCCACTCATTTCCACATGTGGTGGATGTAACGCACCATGAAGATGCCGTGGGGAAGGCTAACATCGTATTCCTGGCAATCCGCCGTGAGCACTATTCTGTTGTGTGGGACCTCAAACACCTACTGGAAGGTATGTCACACACCTCTAAGTGCTTTCACACCATCACACACATACTGGACACAGTGGTTGATTTTCTTATCCCAGCATGCAGATCAAGCTACCGACCTTCCAAAGGTTTTGGTTTGAGCCGCGTGTGTGAGACTGGAGGAAATGCAAGGGCAAAGACGTCTGGGTTATCAGTGTTGGTGACCTGACTGCTGTGCTTGTGTTTGTTGTGCAGGGAAGATCCTGGTGGATGTGAGTAACAATAAGCGAGCAAACCAGTATCCAGAGTCCAACGCCGAGTATCTGGCTTCACTGCTGCCAGACTCTATCGTGGTCAAAGGCTTCAACGTCATCTCAGCCTGGGCCATGCAGCAGAGCTACCCTAAGGATGCCAGCACACAGGTGCAGTAACCGGGCCACACGTGTCCACGTCTACAGCGTGTCTTTGTCCTGTCGTGTCCCTGAGCTCTGCTGGAGCTTTCCTCCTGTTTAAAAACCAAAGTTTTGACCTGTGACTGTTGCTAAAATGCTCGCCCACCAGGGGTTTGTCTGTAGTGTTGTAGGGTCTTTACCTTAAAATACCACAGCCTCAGCTGAGAGGTCAGCCACGTGCTCATGAATCTGACTTTGTGATACTTTGTATGTAAGGCAGAGAGTTTAAAGCTGTTGATGACACTGAGTCAGTGAAGAAATACCAGTAAGTGCTTCCTTTGGGTTAGTGGCAGCGTTCGAAATGACTTCAATTCAACTTTATTTATACAGCAGCAGACCACAACAACATAATGTAAGGCAGACCCTACACTAATACAACCCAACAATCATGTGACCCCCTGTGAGCAGCACTTTGGTGACAGTGGGAAGGAAAAACTCCCTTTAACAGGAAGAAACCTCCAGCAGAACCAGGCTCAGGGGGGACAAAGACATGCTGTGGGAGATATCCAGAGATTAATAAGAAGCATGGGTGCTGCTGAGATGGACTCATAAAGGTCTCGCAGCACCGTCCAAACAGGAGGACGCCTCTGAACCGGCCCGTCGTCTCTAACCCGCCCTCATGTTTCTCCTGTAGGTGTTCATCTGCAGTGACTCGGTGGAGGCCAGGCAGCAGATCATGGAATTAGCCCGGCAGCTCAACTTCCAGCCGGTGGACATGGGCACCCTGTCTTCTTCCCGTGATATTGAGAACATGCCTATCCAGTTGTTCCCTGGCTGGAAGGGCCCTGTTCTTGCTGCCGTGGCCCTCTCCATCTTCTTTTTCTCTTACTCGTTTATTCGAGATATAATTCACCCATATATGAAATACAAGCAGAGTGACTTCTACAAGATCCCCATAGAGATAGTGAATCGGACACTGCCTGCCGTCGCCATCACTCTCTTGGCCCTGGTGTACCTTGCAGGACAGTTAGCAGCTGCCCACCAGCTCTACTATGGCACCAAGTACAAGCATTTCCCACACTGGCTGGAAAACTGGCTGCAGAGCCGCAAACAGCTGGGCCTCCTCGCTTTTTTCCTGGCTGCTGTTCATGTCCTCTACAGTGTGTGCCTGCCTCTGAGAAGGTCTGAGAGATACCTGCTGCTCAACACTGCTTATCAGCAGGTCAGTGAAACAGCTTTTTGCACATCTTTACAAACATCAGTGCTGTTTCTGAAGATCACTTTGATTTGAATCGTTACACATTAGCAAGAGAACTGGCAACATCACAGGTTTTGCCTTCAAATATCCAGAAACGTTACAGGTCAGCATAAGTGTCATCCTGAGCTACAGGCAGCATCACACAAGCTTCCTGTCTAACATTCACACTCCCATGGATGCATCATAGGGGGTTAGCATCTTGAACCACATGATTGAACCACCAACCTTCCTGGTTTTAACTTTTCTGTTTGTGTCACAGTAGAGACGTGTTCACGTCGGCGTTGTCTAAAATCTGTGTCAAACACATGAGGAGCGATGGGAGGCTCGTGGAGTAAACCAGAAACGCTGTAATCTGATTGGCAGCAGCGGTAGGGTTTCTCCTGATGAACTGTACTCTCTGTGACGGGCTCGTGTTCTCATGTGATGGCAGGTCCACTCGAACATGGAAAGCACGTGGAACGAGGAAGAGGTGTGGAGGGTGGAGATGTACGTTTCCTTTGGGATCATGAGTCTGGGGCTGCTGTCTCTGCTGGCTGTCACCTCCATCCCGTCTGTCCACAGCACGCTCAACTGGAGGGAGTTCGGCTTCATACAGGTACCCACAGAGTCCACCGGCCCGTCGTGTCACGTGCCTCAGAGACTATTCGGAGTCCAGTCTAGTCTGTGTACGTGATCAGTAGTGCGTAATGGCGGCTTGTGACGAGTGTACCTGAAACCAGCTCTCCTGCTGTGAACACTTGGGGAAACGTGCTGTGACCGAGACGCTCTCTTAGACAGTCACATGACAGACTACATACGTGTAAACGTGTTCTGCTGTAGTCTCGATGTTAGGGGCGTGTCTAATGTAAGTCACTGTCGTGCTGTTATGTGATCACAACAAAAGCCTGTGTCTGAGTGTTCCTGTCTTTGCTCCAGTCCACTCTGGGGTACATCGCCCTGCTCATTGCGACCTTCCACGGGCTGCTGTTTGGCTGGAAACGCGCCTTTGAGGAGGAGGCCTACCGCTTCTACCTGCCGCCCAGCTTCGTCGTGGCCCTGGCGCTCCCGGTGTGCGTCATCGTTGGGAAGCTGCTGATCCTGCTCCCCTGCGTTGCCCGCAAGCTCCACCAGATCCGCAGGGGTCAGGACAGCAGTGAGATGAGGGGCAAGCGCATGGAGCCGGTGGGCTCAGCTGCCCACGTTTCCCCTGAGAGGGTCACCGTTATGTGATCGGCCTGTTTGTAGCTCCAGGTGAGGAACCGCTGTAGTGACTCTCACTGCGGGACTGTGTCTGATGACAGCTTCGTGCTGTGGACCTGTTGCTGTATCTGCTTATTCTTATTGTTCCAACGATGCTGCTTCGTATTATTGTGTAGTGTTTATCAGGACATCACGTCCCTGCTTTGAGTCGCTGCTGTAACTGAAACTGCAGTTTGTACAGGTCCTGCTCATCTGTGAGAACAGCTGTTTGCTCTTCTGTGACATCGCGACTGGAGTGTAGCAGAGGCGCTGTCGGTGGGCCCTGCAGCTTTGATGATGGAGGACAGCTGCAGCACATCTGCCTCTCCTCACTGTAACGCTGCACACCTGCGTTTACCTGTGTGTGTCTGCAGTGCGATCTGAGGCTGTCATTCACACATTGTTTTCCTTACAGACCGTGGTAGAAGTGTGTAACATTTGTGTGTCAGTCAGTGAAACGTGTTCCTGTGACGCTCATGTGACACACAGCTTCACACTGAGTGTTAGTTTATAGTATTTCGTTGTGTTTTTACAGTGAATGAACAGCCGGTGTCTAATCTGCACTTAACCCTTGTGTGGTGTTCATATTTTTCTTACTCAGCCAGTGTTCATGGGTCTGGTGGACCCGCCAGAGTTTAACACTATCAAACAATTTTATGTTAAATTACTCAACAGATGTTCACTTCATCCCAGTTACAAACCATATGAACAGCAAACATGGTTAATTTTTCCCTTTACCTTTGTTAGACCACATTTATGAATTAATGTGCTTCTCGTTTTTTGTTTTATAAAATGTTATAAAAATAAATCAGTTATAATCAAGTGGAGTGAGTGGAAAGACACAACTTATTTACACGTGAAGCAATATGTTTCACAACTAAATCTGATCAGCTGCTCATCAATGGTGACATTAGGCCCAGGGTTGTAAAACAGGGGGAGGTGGTGCACCCACTTATCCCACACTGTCCTGATGGCAGCTAGCTTGTCTCTCTGCCGTCGAGCTGGTCTGTCGTCTCGGTTATCAAAACGGATAATCCTGGAAATTTTGTGGAAGTTTTTTAGAGACATTGATGCACAGAAAGGTTCTTGCCGGTTTCTGCATCCCACAGGGATTCTGTGGATTCCCCTTTGGACCTGAAAACTCCTGCAAGGATAAGAACCCCAAAGTAGGCATGTAGATCAATTTGGTCCATCTCCTTCCACCTCTCTCCAAAAACACACCGTCCTTCTAGATTACTGCAATCCAGAATAATTTTCTGGATGGAATCTGGGATGAAAAGCTCAAATGAAGACTTGATGTCCTGCACATGAGTAACTGTCAGCCGTGTTGGCCCTGGCTTATCACAGTAGCAGCTCTGCAGGGTGGCTCATTTCTTGGGCAAGAAGACCATTCGATTTCACCAGTTATTGACATCTATATTTCTTCACTTGCTGTCTGGTGGGCTTGTTCTGGTCCTGGAGCTGGCTGCTGATGGGGTACTCGTCTTCGTTTTGTTACTAAATGGTGCTCAACCTCATCCTCTTCTTCAAAGTCACTGTCAGACTCTGAATTTTCAGAAATGTGAAATATTCTGAAACCTCTTTGTCAACATCATCATCCGAAGCCCCTCTCTCTTCCAAAATCAATTGGATGGCCCTCGCAGCAGATAATCTTTTGCCATCTTGATCAGTTGTGATAAAGAACCACACTGGCAAAGTCTTATTTATAGTATTATGCCCCTAATTTGCAGGTGGGACAGGGTATGAGAAAATAAAATTTGGATCCCTCAAGAAAGAGGGTAAAATGTGTGGGAATGTAAGAGCAGACGGTGTTGATAGTTGAATTTTCAACAATGTGGCAACTTTGTGCGAGAGCAGGAGGGGAAGAAAACACTATCAGCAGCACCAGAAAGGAGGAAGACAGAGTGTGGGAACACAGGACCTACACTTTCAACACTTTTATTAGACCTGGGTCCAGTGGACCCGAACACCTTGTATGTAATGTAAATGCGTGGGGGGAGGTACAGTATGAGGTCATTGAAAATTAGTTCAGATTCATGTTCTTCACAGAAAATAAGCCAAAGCCAATGAATTTCAGGGTGAAAAAATAATTGTTTAATTTTTCTTTTGGGAAAAACAGAAAACGGGTCTCACAGACCCGAACACCATACAAGGGTTAAATGAGCAGCAGCGCCCTCTGCTGTCCGGCTTCACAAATCGTACTTCTCTGTATATGCATTGAGTTTGTGAGCTTTAAGGATGAAGGAGATCTACAGCAGCTGGATCAGACGACGGGCCGGGCGGCAGACCCAAGCTCGACGTCAGAGTACAAATAAACTTTATCATGAACAAGTCTGAGTTTGGTCATTTCATTAGAATCTCGTTGTTTCTGCACACAGCTGCAAATCATTACGAGGCTCAACGACAACTCTGACAGTGGGTAACCTCCTCACGCGCTCAGGATGCACGTCTGTGTGTGCGGGGGTGGATTGGTAAATAAGGAGAAACCTGTGATTGGCTGAATGAGGCTGGTAGCCGGGCCCACCTCAGCCGTACACTGACGTGAAGAATCTAATGCAGTTTGTGGTTAAATACGAACACAATGACAGTCAGAGAGGACCCATGTGTTTAGTGCTGCTACACAATATTTGAAATGTAAACAGTTGGTTTTGTACTACTTGAACACCAAGTGTCCTCCCATGACACGGCAGCAGTGGCCCACCGAGCCTCCGACCAGCTGCTGCCCTCTAATGATGTGAACTGCAGACAAACGTGGCATAAAAAAGAATTTTAATGAAACCCATCACACCCAAATATCACGTTTCACACACTAGGATTCACAACACATTTAAGAAACATTTGGAAACTGTCACAGATGGATCAGGACGCCTGGGAGGAAACTGTCCTGGTCCCACAGGACCGACCTGACAGCAGCACGAACAGCTGAGAGGAGAATAAACCAGCTCATTTTAATGCTACAATCTGAGGACTATCACACTTATTATTTGCACAGTAGAAACATGTAGTCATAGACGCCCAGCGTTTCCTCAGCTTTGACCTGGCCTAGCGCACAGTGCTCGTTTCCTGGAGCTGAACATATTCGAACCCACAGCTGTCCACACACCCGTGCGCAGCTTCGGAGATCAAATCAGGTCTGTGGCTGCAGCTGCTCCAGGGACGACAGCAGCTCCTGGGCGCTGGGTCTGCAGGGGGGCGTTCCGTTCCAGCAGCGGCTCAGCAGAGCCCGAAACAGCCGCCCCGGCTCCGACCGGAACACCTGGTGGTCCTGAACAGGAGGCCGCAGATTATGAGCCACCACCGCGTAGATGACGTGCTCCCTGTCGCCGGTGTAGGGCGGCTCTCTGGTGAGAAGCTGCCACAGAGTGATGCCGAAAGAAAAGATGTCCGCTTTAGGAGTCACCCTCTCGCCTCTGAGCAGCTCTGGGGCTCTGTGCGTGTACGTGCCACCCACGAGAGGCTGGTGGCTCGCGGCGCTGACCTCACAGCCAGGGTCCAGTTTGAGAGAACAGCCGAAGTCTGCGATTTTGCACACGTCCTCGCTGGTCAGCAGCACGTTAGCTGGTTTAATGTCCAGATGCACGACGCCGTGGGAGTGGAGAAACCTCAGGCCGTGAACGATGTCCGACGAGTACCTGACGCACCTGTGCTGTCCCAGCGGCTCCGTGCCACCGTAAATGACCTGCTGGAGGTTCCTTCTGCCCACGAACTCCATCAGTATTACCCCGATGCTGCCTTCGTCTCCACACTGTGGCGGGACGCAGGTGGTGGCAGCTATTACGCGCACTATGTTGGCGTGGCGCAGGTGCGCCGCGTTCAGCTCGGCCCAGAAGCTCTGCTGGGACGCCAGCTTGTTCTTGGTGGACCTGTTGACCTTCTTCACCGCCACGGTCTCTCCGAAGTACTCCGCCTGGTCGACCGAGCCGAAGCCTCCCGAGCCCACGGGCTGCACGGAGCGCAGCTGCTTCCAGTGGATAACCGAGGACCAAAGCCGAGTGGCGATTCGGCCATGGAGCCGCTGAGCGGGCACTTGTAAGGTGGAGCCGTGCTTAGTCAGCGGGCTGCTGCAGGGCCCCGTGTCCACAAAGGGGCAGAAGTCTTTGGGCAGCAGGCGGGTCAGCGGGATGGGAGACGGCATGGCACGCTGTGCACCATACTGCTCTGGAAGCCGAACAGCTACTCTGCGCTCAGCTCAGGCTTTTACGCGCTCCGCACTGCCGCCTGCTGTTCTGGAGGACGTAATGCTTCTGTTTGGGGTCACTGAGTTCATGCCGATGGTTCACCTCAGTTTACTCTATACAACAGAGCAGAGCCGGGTAAAAGGACGGCTTTGTGTGAACAACATCTGGGACAGTGAGCATAATAACATCTACGGTCATATATACGTCCCGGCGAGCCGTGTGAGCTGGTAATGTGTGCGCAGTGTTTAAAGCTGCGGATGGGGAGCCCTGCCTGAACGGTCAGGGAGTGTGAGGCTGGGGGAGGGTGCTCCACCGAGGAGCGTGGAGCTCACAGCCTGTCTGTTTCACTCTCTCCGACTTTTCCAGCACGCAAAAACAGATGCTCACTTTCTAACAGCCTGCTCACTGGTAACAAAGGAAAACATGGAGCTGTACATTACTGTGTTTTAATGCAAGCTACTGGAACCAGTCTGATGCGAGCTTCAGTGTACCAGGTATCATTTTCATGGGTCAGAGAGATTTTTCATGTTGTAAGGAAGCGTAACTCTCCAAAAGTTGATTCTGTTCATCTGGATGCTTTCAGTAGGAGAAACGTGTCGTCATCATCAGGTGACGTCTTCAGTCTCAGCTGACTGCAGGTTTTCCCCAATGGTATAAACAGCACATTTACATAATGACTGAAACCAGCCCACTGAAGGAACAATGGGCTGGGAGGTCAGTTCATCATAATTATGCAAAGTCTCATGACCATTGATCAACAACCACTGATTAAGACCTGTTTGTAAGGTTGGAGAAACCTGCAGTCTGTGTGTCAGTAACACTGTGAGTTACAGTGTGT